CTCCTCAGTGATACAAAATTTGTCTCCTAAATATTAAGCGCCGGAAATATTGATGTGCATGTACCACGCATCATTTCCAAAGTAATGGAGACACTACCATTGCAAGATGTCAGCTCGAGTGCTCAATCCAGTACACTACTGGAATACGCATAGTGATGTTTGCCATCACTGTAAGTCTGCTTTAAACAAACTTAACTTCAGCATTATTGTCCAGCCATGACCAATTTTCTTTTCTCCTGCCATCACATCGTAATATCACCATTACTGCCTCCTTACCACATCAACCTAATACCATTCCAATTTACTGTAAGAATATTTTTAAGAAATTGTACTGACAATAGAAAGAAAAAGCATTTGTGATAGCTTACTAAATCAATTCTTTAAATTTTAATTTTTAATACAGTTGTAGTTAGTAAATAAAGAAAGAAAAAAACAATGTTATGTAAAAAACAATATATAAAATCATAAATAATAGTTATATCCCAAAACACCGCGCTTCATAGGTACGTCACTTACTGCATCATTAAAGAATAAAATAATTGTTGCTATAAACTAATATTGTAGTATATAATACTAATAGGTGACGACAATATTTTATGCAAATGTAACTATAGCTATGTTCTAATTGTGTAAGACATGTATCCGTCAAACGCGAGCTAATATTAATAGGGACAAACTCACCTGGCAAGTAAAAACTTAAGGCGAACGTATTACGTCTAGTGACATCTACCCACAGTAGGTATCAAATACCATGTGTTGCTTCTCACCTAGTGGCTCCACCCACGGATAGATACCAATGCATGCTCAATTAGTCGCGTGCTCACCAGCAACTACCGCTTCAGAATTCCATCCTCACTAAATTCAACATCTGGTCTAGGGCTGCATATGCTCCTCTTTTCCCAGAATATATTAATCAAAATAATCCTTGACTCATCACGGGTTCCACTCCTGATTATCAATCCAATTCAGGGTTTAAATAGAACCAAGCCCTGCGAGCTCGTCCTCTTTTCTGGAGAGACCGCCGACGGACAAGCAAGTCAGTATTTACTTAAGCAAATTATATTATTAAACGTTCGTCTAGATTTTTAAATTTTCGTTATTGTATTTGTAAACTAATAAAACCAGTTCCACTAAATGTTTCATTAAGCTTTCCATTTCGTATAATACAGTGCCAACTTGACAAACCTTCTACTCCACTGGCCTTCACAGGAAAACTGTCAGATTCTCATCGTCCATTAGTCGTGAAGGTACGAATAAATTACTTTCAAAATTTTAACTACATTGCAAACGCTGCTGAACGCAAACAGATTTGCTATCTGTGCCCTGCACGCTGCATTTACGTTGAAGAGCCACGACGTAGCAATTGATTGAGGAATAACTTTTTTTAAACGGTAAAAGGGTGTGGGCTCAACAGTATGTAGATGAGTTTATAGTGGAAATGATCGGGCGTAAAGGGATGTCAGATCAATATATTTGTGGATCCCGTAAGCTTTAGCTATTTGTGTATGTGTTTGTGAAAGATATAGATTGTTGTACTTACGGATTAGATAATCTCTTTGGTTATAATGCTTAAAAAGTTCATATACAAGTTCTTGTAATTGTTTGAAAAGATTTTTGCTTATCTTTATGTGCGTGCTTGTATCATCGAGTAAAAACAACATTGTTACATTATACGTCTCTTTTTCAATGCAAACTGTCACATTACCGGCTTTTGAAGGCATAATGTTTTCATTGTTTTCTATGAAATTTTTTATTTTAAACATAATATTCTTATTACTTTTTTCTGATCTTTTAGTTTTAAATTTGAATAATCATTGCTACAAAAAAATTTATGAACCCGACCCCTAATTTGTTCTTAATAGCATTATCTAATTTACATTTGTTTACAAAAGTTTTGAAATTTTTCACTACAGTTACACTCTTCTGTATACTAAAGGTTGAAAGTTGACACTTCAATTTTGGTCCCAAAGCTTCAAGGTCTGTAATATTTTTCGGAATGCCGTAAAGAATGTTTTTTTTTAGGGTATGCTCTTGAATGCAATTACAGTTTTGATTTTATTATAGTTAGAACCTTAGACGTTGAAAACAATAGCAAAAAGCACCTTATAATCTAAAATATTATTCATTATGAATACTTAGAAAACTATTTATCGACAGGAGAATACGGAACATCTTATCTATGTATACAAACATAGTTCTTAAAATAACTTGAACCTTTTTAAGTTGCTTAACCGTTCCACACGTATAACAGTCTTATCAGCACTTATTATACTTTTGACTGCTGATAGAGACAGTCTACTCCTTACCTACTATTACTTGTTAAACTCTTCCATCAGAAGATTATTTGTTACATCATTTTAATACATTGTTTTATTTCTAATTGTTTGTAGATAAGTTAACTTTGAGAATTTACTATGTGGACTGCGAAGAATCTTGTTTTAAGTAATTGTGTATTTGTATATATTTAATAAAGCCTGATAAGGGCAATACTATCATTGTCAAAACGTCGCACAATATATTGTGTGTTAAAATTCTTGCCCCCCCAAAAAAATACAATAAGATTGATATCATGGTAAAAGATATGAGGAATTATGTCAACTCTCACTTTTAATCGAAGACAGGTCAATGTCAACTTGGTTTGTTCAACACAATCTCAAAACTTTTTGGACTCAAAACATCAAAGTTACTTATGGATTGAACAGATACTCAGAGATCCGTTATTAAATTTTCAGCCAGACTTTGGTTCTTGATACTTTATAGAAGAGACGATGTAACTCCATGAAATATCCGAGATAAGTGTTGAAATTCCGACAAAACTTTTTTACGTAGTCTACAGTGTAAAAAATTGATTTTGAATTACAAAAATACTGTTACGCGTTGATTACTTTGTTTTAGAATAAAGTGTCTAAATATTATTAAAAAATCTTTAAAATCTGGATTTACAGAATCAAGAATTGAGAGTAGGGATCCGCTGTTAGAAAAAAACGGTACATAACAATATTTTTATATAAGTTGAATAGAAATGTGAAAAAATGTTCAAAAATCTTGTAAAAAAATAAAAACATAAATTTGAAAAATCAGATTAAACAGATCAACTAGAAGTTTACTCCACTGATAAAAAAAACTAAGTAAAAAATTTAACACAAGTACCCATTCCAAAAAACTTTATAGACAATGTAGCTTTAGGACCAAAATTGATTTTAAACCTTCGAACTCTAGTATACATGATAGCGTGATTGTAGTAAAAAATTCGGTAAATTAAAGAGACAAATGTAAATTAAATAAGACTATTAAAAAGAAAGTAAAAGGACACATCAGTAAATTTGTTTGTAGCAATAATTTGGAAAATATAAATCTAATGAAACAGATACAAAATTATACAAGAAAAAATATTAAAATAAAGAGTTTTATTAAAAACAATCGAAATGAAATGCTTACGAAAGGTGATAAGGGCAATGTGACAGTTTGTTTTGAAAGAGAAACGTATTATGAAAGAGTGTTGTCCTTACTCAATGATATAAGCACACACATAAAGATGAGCAAAAATCTTTTTGAACAGTTACAAGAACATGTATATGAAATTCTTAAGCATTATAACTAAAGAGATTATCTAACCCTTACATACAACAATCTATATCTTTCACAAACACATACACATATGGCTAAAGCTTACAGGATCCCAAGAATATATTAATCTGACATCCCTTTACGTCCGATCATTTCCACTATTAACTTACCTACATACTATTGAGCTCACACCCATTTTCTTGTTTAAAATTAATTCCTCCATCAATTGCTACGTCATGACTCCTCAACGTAACTTTAGCGCACGAGTATTTAAATGCAGCGTGTAGGGCACAGACAGCAAATCTGTTTGCGTTCACCAGTGTTTGCAATGTAGTTAAAACTTTGAAAGTAATTTACCCATATCTTCACGAGTTATGGACGATCAGAATCTGACAGTTTTGTCGTACATAATAGCATGATACCATGCATTACTGGCTCAAACTTTTATGTACCGCGACCGTGCTACTTGATTCTGCCGCGTAAGCGAAATTTATCTTAATTAAATAATGATAGTTGATTACAAATATAAATATGGAAAACGATTCTATAACAATGACGTTTTTCCACGTTTTTAGTTAAATAAATTGCTCTTATATTTTGTTGACCTATAATTTTCAAAGATTATTATTTTAATTGAAATAATTTTAGTTTTCCATGAGCGTTCCATTTACTATTTCTATAAACGAAGTCTATACTTAAGAGCGTCTTAAAATTGATTCATGCTTCCATTTTTTTTCTTACGGATAGTTACGTCTTGGACTTTTAAGATAAGATGTATATTTAAAAACCAGAGTATACGAATAGTATATGACGAAGAAAGTAATAAAAGTGTAGTGATTTTTCAAATGCATGAAGGATATTAGAAAACTTTGAAATTTAATACAACCAAAATCAACTGATTTAAACATTGATACATAAAAAGTAGGTAAAGCCTCAACAAAGGACGCTATGTACATTTTTAGATTGCTTAAAACGTCCTTAAGTTTTGCAGAAAGTTAATTCTAAATAAAAGCATTCTAATCTTCAAAAACTGGGTAAACCTGTCGTTATTGTAGCTTGGAGAAAAATTAGCAATAACGTAAAAATTAACTATGAAAATGTTTTAACATGCAAAAAAGTAAGCAAGCTCTTCGTTGAGAATGTTTGTAAATACAAGGACACGAGAAGCAAGAAATGAGTTCCAAAATCGTAATTAGAAGAAATCATTATTATTATACATTCTTGCAAAAACTTTTATTTAAAGTTGTACTAAATTGTTTTTCATTAACACAGATCAATTAGATGCCCCTATGATACTTGGATCAAGATAAGCTAGCTAAAGTAAATATAGGTTTTGACAAAAATTTTTACCACTTTTCACTACTTTAAAAGTTTATTTTGTCAACAAACTTATATTTTGAACTGATTGAAACAAAATTTTTGGAATGTTTCAGAAGTGTTATTAAAAGTTGGATGGGTTGGCATATGTGGATCAGATGTTCATTACTTAACACATGGCAGAATTGGAGAGTTTATAGTAAAAGATCCAATGATAATTGGGCATGAGTCCTCTGGAACCGTCTTCAAACTTGGACAAAACGTTACAAAATTTAAAGTATGAGCTTATTATAAAAATTTAAATATTATTCTTATAATTTTACATAAAGATCAAAAAAATGCATTGATTTAATCACATTTGTGATACTAAGATCTTAGTTTCGTGAAACTAAAGATAAAGCATTATTTTTTAATAATTAATTTAAAGTTTTTTCGTGAAGAATATATTTTTTTAATTTATGATGATATGGTTGATCTTTATACACTAAATTAATTTAAAAAAAAATATGGTCATGTGATTTAAGGTTGGAGATAGAGTGGCTATTGAACCAGGAGTACCTTGTCGGTGTTGCAACCATTGTAAAAGTGGTAAATATAATTTGTGTCCAGACATTGTATTTTGCGCAACCCCTCCTAACCATGGAACACTTCGACGATACTACCCACATCCCGCTGATTTTTGTTACAAGTAAGGATTATTTACTTATATCAACTATCTTTTCTTAATAAAGAAAGGATAAGAGCTCTTGCAATGTTATTAACAATACATAAATACATTTTCCTCTTAAATATAATTTTTACAATATTGTAAGAAGTTTTTCTACCAAATGCCATACGTCGTTGTATTTATTGAAAAAAAAAAAATTTTTATATTATGTTGTCACGATTTTTTGTTATATTTTCTTAATTTTCACGACGTTAATACTACATTGTAAAACGATATTCAAAAGAGTTTTAAAAGTTCCGTATGGGTTAAGCACATTAATTAAAAATTTAATGTTTTGTTATAAGATTAAGGTACATTTTTTTTATTGGAACAGTTTTTATCTCTCAGCTGCATTTCACACTTTCACTTTTAAGGCCCAGCTAACAATTAATATGAAGGCAAGAATCGAGATTTACAAAGATTACTTATATATTTTCAATCAGCTTAGTAACTATGGTGCTCGTATATTGATACAAGAACATGAAACTTTTTTTCTGGACGTGTTAAAGTTATACCTTGAAAACAAAAAAAAACATTCTTTTGCAAAGCTTATTAAACTAACAATTAGTAACTTAGGCTTCATTTATTTACTTTAATTTTTACGGTCATCGTTTGATAACCGTTGGTCTGTTACGTATTGGAGTATGCATACTTATGAGCAGTACTTCAATACATTTTAATTTCAGCCGGTGCATACACTTTTTAGCAAGACAACGTAGTAAGATAAAGAGTATCCACTCCTATAATTATATGTCATCACTAACAAAGCCATAAGAAACAATGCTTGTTTTTAAAGATGACTTAAATATTACTGTTGAAATATTAAGCACTTACAGATAGCCAAGATTGTAAAAATGCTAGTTCGTCATAATCTCATATGTTTTGAAAATCTGAGATAGTATTCAGACTTAAATCTTCGATCTAATGTACTTCTAGGTATATCCTGAAGTATTTAAAATCTACAGCAAAGGTTGTCTTCAGCTTTAAAATTATATTACTCTTAGTATATTCATAAACCATGCTTAACTTCTTATATTATATTCGAATAATACTAAGACTTATGTGCACCAGTACAATGAATAAAAGCTGCAATTATCATTTATTAATCCTTTTCAATTATCTTCGGAATAATTCCTTACCTTCACTAAGTGCACACATGGACAGAGATTAATAGACAGATTGCTGACTGTAATGCTACGATGCGAGCTCACTTTTGGCCACTGTTTTAAGCGCCCTGTCGCTGCCAAGAGGTCGAGCCAGGCGCACATATTTTTTTTTTTTTTATTTGAGAAGTGTTGAGGGGACATGCCGAGTGCGTGCCTACGGATTCATGTGAAAATGGGCATGTAGGCACATACTTTGGAGATTCATGCTGAGTGTTCACTTGCCGAGTCTCGTGGAAATGTGCATGTAGGCACACATTATGACGACGCATGGAAGGGGTATGACTATATAGTGAGCCTGTAAAGAGGAGAAAAGTGCTTCTATGCTTCTAACTGTTACTACATTTAAGTATATATGTAAAATGCAGCTGAGCAGAGTGAATGTGTACGATGAGTTAGGCAATCAGTGTACCTCGTGTGTACATGCGTTGCATTTGACACTTAGTGTGCGAACAAGTGCGTGACTGAATAAAGTGCAACAACGTAAACAGAGGTTTTTTTGGTTGGAGGTTACATCAGCGAGTTAAGATTTGCTATCGTGGCAGCTGCTTGTTGCAGGTTTTTTATACACTTGATTAAAGTTATTGTGTATAATGTTATAAGTGCAATGACAATGCAAACAAACTAGTTTTGGTAAGAATTTTTGCTTTCTCGTTATGGATAAATTTGCTTTTGGCTATTTTGCGGTTACGGATACCCAGGCTACAATGTTTTTTCAGCGATTAAGTAAAAAAAGCAACATAACCGTACGACTATTGTCAATACGGGGGCTACACAAAATCGAAGCTTTCTGGTGAAAAGCTCTACAGATTTCCAGATGCCACAAATCAAAAGGATCGCCACATCATGTGGATTCAAAACACAGGTAAGCATTTATCCACTTATATTTAATTAATTGTTGGCTTAACAACTCGGTCATGTTGAATTAACGATGAAAGTGTTTAAAATCTGAGATTTTTCAAAACCTCAATTTTTTTTTACTTGTTTGTTGACAACGTTTGACATTACCATAAACTAATATTGTAGTATATAATACTAATAGGTGACGACAATATTTTATGCAAATGTAACTATAGCTATGTTCTAATTGTGTAAGACATGTATCCGTCAAACGCGAGCTAATATTAATAGGGACAAACTCACCTGGCAAGTAAAAACTTAAGGCGAACGTATTACGTCTAGTGACATCTACCCACNACATATCATTTTAATGCGAGTACGTTTGAGAAAACATTGTCAAAAAAAAATTCTGATCGCCTTGATACACCTAATTTCTCCCGCTCCGGAAAATAAAAACAAGCTACAACTACTACAAGTTTTGAGACCTTCTAAATTTTGCACGAGAGTAATTATTTAAACGGCTTTATTATTATATTTTAACAAACAGGGGTACTGAAGACTTTTTTATAGCTAAAAATGTAGAACTAAGACCTAACCAAAAATTATATGTATTGTTTTTTATTGAATGAACGATAAATAAAATTTAAAATGTCTGACTAAATACGAAGGGTAGGGTCGTTTCAAAATTATTTTATGCCAATCGCTTAAGGCGGAAGCACCCAAGCTCAGAGATTTAGATTGTATAGCTAAAAATTTAGAACAAAAAATGGGGCAACACAACTGATTTGAGTGGGACCTTTTGCATTGTGTTCCTACAACCTTGAGTAATGTTCCTTATCCTTAACCTATTCTGGAAAATAAGAATTTTAAATTAAAAAATTAAATTAAAATTCTGGAAAATAAACACTGGGGTAGTGGCAGCCCCCTGTTGACACTCTAAAAAAGTGACGTGGTAAAAAATTTTGTAAACGTGATATTCAGCCGCCAAAATGGGGTTTTTTTTTTTTTTTAGTCGCTGAACACAATTATAAAGACAGAGATAATCTCTGAGGTACCCGGTGAACAGGGTAGAGAGTATCAACGTAATCTCTTGGACTTTTATGGCAATTTGTAACGTAGACAGTTGAGACTTGTTACTCGGAGGTTTTTGGGTTGCTAAACACGAATATGAGGTTAAAATAAAAAAATTTTTTGTCCCTGTATAATAGAACAATTATTTGTTGGAAACTCTCATACTTTGGTGTAGAATCGAATAATCAATGTTTTGCCTCGAAAATTGTGTCTAAGAAAATTTTTTTGGATCCTATGAAAACATTTTTTAATACAAAAAAATTTTTTGATGTTTTTTTAAAGAAATTTTCAATTAACACTTAAGAAGTTCATCTTCATAATAGTTTATCAATTTTAATTTAATTCAATTATTTTGTAGAATCACAATCACAAAATTAAAAAAACATTTCAACAATATTACAGGGCAATGAGTTCGTTGTCAAACTTTTCGAGAATTTGGCGATTTCTTTTTTTCTGTTAGTTGCAAACTGTCTCTAGACCTCTAAAAAAACAGTTAGACTTTTTGAACCAAACCATAGAATCTTATTTTATCACATTAGAATATAAAAAAAAACTTATTTCGACCGATTTTAAGACGATTTTGTAGAGACACTACTTTTAGACACACGTATAAAACGGTATAATTTTTTAATTAAATGTCTTCAGGATTCGCTTTTGTACTGTTAAAAAGCTGCTTTTTTTATAAATAAGAAAAAAAGCGTCCTAGCATTCTCAGGAGCCAAGGTAACCTTTTTTCCTTACAATTTCTCAGCCGTTAATTATTAACACCAATCTGGCTGAAACTGACACATGCTGTTGTTTAATAAATATATTTTCATAAAAAAATAGTATCGATCTATATGCAGCCAGATACTTCTTAGATACTGGTAAGACAGTTACTATCATTTTCTCCGCTCTTGCTGCAAGCAAAAAAATTTTTTAAAAACCAATTTGGGGTAGCTTAACGATTTATAAGAAGGTTATTATTGTTTCTAAGTAACCATAACAGCTAACCACAAGTAGACCAATGCACATACTAATATTTTAATCGAAAAAATAGTGCTCCTAAATGTTATGGTACATTATTTAGGTTTTTGCAAACTGATGTTTGTAAGGTTTTGAGATTTTATATTGATATTAATTGTTATGATTCGGCTCCAGTAAACATGTTTTATGTAGTTTAAGGTACATGCTTGGAAAAAATGCTAGTTTTGTGTTTTCAACGTTTCTTCATGTAAATAAATAACATTGTGCATCTTAAACAATTTTAAATAGCTCAACCAATATTGTAAACGTTAACTTACATGTTACATGTTTTGAGCTCACACTGGCTTGATGCTTTCAGTTCCTCCTCTATCAACGCTACCGCCTTGAGATACAAAAATGGTTCAGCTCTTTTTATTAGTGCTACCTTTGGCATTACCTCAATTAAATTTATTGCGTATATAACTATCTCTAAAATGACTTGTTAAAATGTAAAGAAATCTTTGTTTGTTTCAAATTTATTATCTTGAATGCAAAACTAGAAAAGTTAATTTTGAGAAAACTTTTTGAGAATAAATTAACAGCAGTTCAACACACTCTATTTGTTGCTGTACGAAAATAACGCAAAATATTGTTTGCTTCCTTAGGTAACAATAATCTTTTACGTTGAGCGGCATCTTCATTATGATCTGCAGGGTTGTGTGCAAATCATTTTTCAAAGGATGATTTCATACAAAATATCCAAGAAAAAATGCACTTGCGTGCCACCGCTGTTCCAATTGAATGGCAATTAGCAGAACCTTAGATTATTCTACAAATATTGGATTCCACAGCAAACAAGGAACTACAAAAAAGCCAACATCAAGAAAAATCAATCGAAGCCAATGGACTAGATCAACCAATAGAAATTAATTTTGGAGGACAACAAGAAATCACAGGTAATGATAGC